GTTCTGTCTTCTTCTCTTTAAAAGTCTATTTCTCACTATGAAGTAAAGTGATAGATGAAATATCAGTGCGTCATACTTACATACTGCTGTACATGTGTTATATATTTTAGTACATACTCTTTTTCTTCATTAGATATATGCCCCATTCAATCATAACTAGCTAGAAAGAATTCTAGCAAAATTCTATTACCCACTACTATAATATTTTTATGTTAAATCACTGATCATTTGGTATGTGGTTGTTGTACGTAAGGACTGGTTTCTCAAAGATGGATTGTCACATGAAAATTCATTGAATTAGGAGATAAGGGGAAAAATTATTTAGATATCTGGTAGTACATTTATATGTTGAATATATATGTTAAACTATATATATTCTATTGAAGTGTTGTACATTAAATAACTATTTACAATTTCAATCTACAACAGTTACTAAATCCTTTGTTGAGGTACCAATAACAGTTACATATACACTTTAGGATTTTGAAAAAGCTAGATCAATAGAATAAATTTAGCACACCGACAATCGCTTGAACATGTTGTACTAATTAAACATGCATGTAACAAGTTCCCGGCCTTGTTCACGCCGCAATTCCTACAAAATTTTATAATGTTATTGCGTTGATAAGTTACTAAATCGTCCTTTCTCATGGAAATATTGTAGGTTACAGTAAAGACTCTTGCTCAGAGAAATCCTTATCGGTGGCTCACTTCTGAAAGGTTATATATCAATACCTTTCATGGATAAATCTTGGATTGAAATACCTAGAAATACAACAAAGTATTTACTTGGTTTGAATCAATTTCTAAATTTTGCATTTAAGAATGCTTCTATAGGAGATAGAATAAAATGTCCGTGTCCTAAATGTGGTTTTGGGAAGTGGCAGATTAGAGAGATAGTGTACGATCATTTGATTAGCAAGTCATTCCCTCAAAATTATGTCACTTGGATTCTTCATGGGGAAACAGAAGTGTTGGAGAACTCTAGAAGCACAGAGGTTATCCCGGATGCATTGCCTCCTGAAAATCCTATGGAATTGTTGATAAATGAAGCATTCCCGGGTTTAAGGCATGAGGGCATTGATGCAGGTCCATCACAATTAGTTGGAGAAGAAGAAATAGTAAATGATCTGCCTTCTTTAAATAATAAAGAATTTTTTGAGTTGCTTAGAGATGGAAGTGAAGAATTATATGAAGGGTCCAAGTACTCGAAGCTAGAATTTTTGTTACAGTTGTATCACATAAAGTGTTTGTCTGGGCTAAGTGATAAGGGAATGACTATGCTGCTAGATTTACTGAATGATGCATTTGGATTTGCAAAGATACCTAATTCTTTTTATGAGGCCAAGAATACCATCAAAAAGCTTTGTCTTGATTATATCAAGATAGATGCTTGTCAAAACGATTGCATGTTGTACTGGGGAGATGATGCTAATGAAGAAACATGCAAGCATTGTCATACTTCTAGATGGAAGCCAACTAAGAAGAGCAACAATAATCACATGTCTACTACGGGAAAGAAGAAAAAGAAGCAAAAGATGCCCGCAAAAATTTTGCGTTACTTTCCACTGAAACCAAGATTGCACAGATTGTTCATGTGCTCTAAAATTGCAGAGCATATGAGATGGTATGTGAAAGATAATAACAGAGATGGAATCATGAGGCATCCCAGAGATGGTGAGGCATGGAAAAGATTTGATACTACTTTTTTTGAATTTGCTTCTGATCCTAGAAATGTTCGATTAGGCCTAGCTAGTGATGGTTTCAATTCTTTTGGTATGATGAGTACTAATTATAGCATTTGGCCAATGATTTTGGTTCCATATAACCTTCCACCTTGGTTGTGTATGAAGCAACCAAATTTTATCCTCTCAATGATCATTCCAGGTCCACGAACGGCGGGGAATAATATAGATGTATACCTACAACCGCTTATTAAGGAGTTGAATGAGTTGTGGCGTGAAGGTGTGGAAACTTATGATTCATCAAAGAAGGAAACGTTTAGAATGTGAGCAGCTCTTATGTGGACAGTTAGTGACTTTCCTGGACTTAAAATTTTATTTGGTTGGAACACACATACTGGTTTTGTATGTCCATCTTGTAATTTTGACACAGAACCTTGTCGACTTCGTCATAGTAGAAAGTGGTGCTTTATTGGTCATCGCCGGTGTTTGGCAAGAAATCATAAATTTAGATTGATGAAGCTTCATTTGTTTGGCAATACGGAAGAGAGAAACCCTCCAAGGAAGTTAACTCGGTCAGATATTTTGAATCAAGTGGAAGAAATTGATGTTACATTTGGAAAACCAGCAGAATTGAATGAAAGAAGGAAAAGAAATCGACAAAAAGGTACCGAGAAAAGTGCAACTCAACAATGGAGGAAAAAAAGCATATTCTTCAATCTTCCATATTGGGAATTCAACTTGTTGCGCCATAATTTAGACGTTATGCACATTGAGAAGAATGTGTTTGATAATATTATATACACTTTGCTACATGATAAAGACAAATCAAAGGATCATGTTAAGGCTCGAAAAGATCTAAAAGATATGGGTATAAGGCGTGATCTTTGGCCAGATGAGTATGAGAATTGTCGGCTTGCTTCGTTTGCAATTCCAACAAATAAAAGAGTCGACTTTCTCAAAACTTTAAAAAATATCTTGGTCCCAGATGGTTACTCAAGTAATATCTCTCGTTGTGTTGATCTAGATAAAAAGAGGATATTTGGACTAAAAAGCCATGATTGTCATATCATTATGGAACAATTGTTGCCCATAGCAATTTGAAATGTGCTTCCAAATCACGTTGTTGCAGTCTTGGTAGAGCTTTCATCCTTTTTTAGACAACTTTGTTCGAAAAGCTTGAGCCTCTTGGACCTAGAAAAGCTACAAGATCGGATTGTACTCACACTTTGCCATTTAGAGATGTTGTTCCCTACATCCTTTTTTATTGTAATGGTTCATTTAATTGTCCCTCTAGTGGATAAAGTAATACAAGGTGGACCGGTACATTATCGGTGGATGTATTTTGTTGAAAGGTAAAACATTACTTATTCAACATAATTTCAATCGATCTTATAATAGTAATTCAAAGTAATTGTTTATTCTAATACCTTTTTATTTTGGTTATAGATTGTTAGGTCATTTCAAGTCCCTTATAGGGAATAAAGCACAACCAGAAGGTTCCATAGCTGAGGGTCACATTGTTGAAGAAGACCTAACTCTTTTTTCTCGTTATTTTGAGGATATTGAGTCGAAGGTAAATAGGCCTAAACGTGTAAACGATGAACCAAATCTTAATGAGGATTCTGAAATGTCATCTATATTTCCTACACAAGGTAAACCCGTCGGAGGTTCTGAAACATTCACATTGACTCAACTTGAGAAGACTCAAGCTCATCGATATGTGTTACTTAATTGTGCAGCAGTAAAGCCGTTTATTAGGTAAGAAAAATAAATTAATTTATTTTTTTACAAAAACTTTGAGTGGAGTGATTAAAATTGATACAATTAACTCCTTTTTAGTGAATTTAGGGATTGCATAAGAAGGAGTTCAAGGGGCCGGAGACCTGCAGCAACCGAAGTAGAAAGGAGAGTTAATAAAGAGTTTTCTGATTGGTTTCCAAAGCGAGTGAGTGAAAATGCTTGTCTATGCTTAATTAACTTTCTTGTTTTAATTTTGAATATTTGACAAAAAGAATTTTGTCTATTTAGATTATGAATCCGGATATAATAAACACAATCTCTACTGATTTGGAGTTTCTAGCATAAGGTCCATGTCCAGATGCGAGAAGGTTCACTGCTTATAACATTAATGGATTCAAATTTTGGACATTGTCTAGAGAACAAGGATCAAAAACTCAAAATAGTGGAGTTTTTCTTACCTCTGACACCTCTTGTATTGCATCCAACGCTGACAGAAATGCGAGGCAAGCATATTTGCCATATTATGGGAAGATGGAGGATATTATTGAGCTTAATTATTATGGTCAGTTTAAGGTTGTGCTCTTCAAATGCCAGTGGGCTGACACTACGCGAGATAGAGGGTTCAAAAGAGATGCTTGGAATTTTAACTGTGTTAATTTTTCTAGATTGATTCACACTGGTGATCGTGAGGAGCATGATCCTTATATTGAAGCATCTCAAGAAAATATAGTATACTATGTTAATGATGAAACTGATGAAGGTTGGAGTGTGGCGGTACATTTAAAGCCAAGAGATTTGTTTGATATGGGAGAGGCGGTTGAAGGAGAAATATACGAGAATGAGCCATTCCAACAACAAGAATTTGAAAATTTTTTTGATGTTAATTATGAAAATGTACAACAACTTGCAATAGAGAAGCATATGTTTGAATAGGAATTAGGCCAGTCCTTAGGTTTTCCTCCAGTTCTTCATGGTGAGTATTTTTCATCCCTTTGAGAATCAAATATATATCATTATATTTAATTTTATATCATTATAGAATTTGCATCAGATTTGCATTTACTTGCCATGTTTTAGTTCTGGAGATGAATATGTCTATCTTATTCAAGTTTAACAGGATGCATGTGTGAATTGTTTCTTCTTAAATTATTCGACTTTGCTTCTACTAATTTTGTGAACTCCTGCTTTTATTTTATTGCTTGTAGGTATGCCGAAGCCCAAGCGTTACGAGAACTTCCAGAACTCAATTCAGCCAGCATCTACATCACAAGGTGTAGTACAACCATTATCAACTGAATCAACACCTTCGCATTTTGATGATACATCACAAGTTCAACTGAGAGCACGACCAACACCTTCAAGGCATGTTGCAGCAAATCCGATTCTGTCAGATCAGACAACAACACAACAGGTTCCATCAGTCGGGGCCGCATCACAACCACCACTATCTAGAAAGTGTAGTGGACGTGTGTCTACGCAACATTGGATTGTAGATGGAATAGGTATGTTATTGCCATTCATTTATACATTCTGTCTATTTTACGCCGCAACTAACAATATGTTACCTCAAAGAATACATAACCTATGCTTAATGCTTCTCATCACTTTACATTCGTTATCAAACCTCTTGGATCCATCCTCATTTTACCAATTTAGAAGATATTTTTCCTTCTAAATTGTAGGAGAGATTAATTCTTTTAAGGTACTGAAGCTTGCCTGATAACTCATTTGATTGTTACTTGATGGTTTGACATTCTGCCTAAGAACCCACCTAATAATCTGTTGCCTCAAAGAATAGAGAACCACATTGATTTTTGTTTTTATCTTTTAAGATTCACAAGGAGCTAGCAAGATACTTAAAGTAAAGAAAAGGGACGTGTTAAATTTATCTAATGGAGAGCGTATTGTGGTTGATTTTGACGACACGGATTCTCCCATTGGTGAAGGACAAGGCGTTCTTGCAGGCTTTTGTGGAATTTTAGAAACTGACTGCTCCATTTTTTCAATTCACTTTGAGAAATGGTCGGATTTACCTGTGACAATCTTCAATCATTGTTATGATTGATTTATAAAGGTATTTTTGAGGCATACAATATCTCGGTTTTATGTCATTAGATTTTATATTTGCATGTAATAATTATCTAACCATTGGTTTATTCTTGAAGCCACGATTTTGTTTTCGGACAACTTAGTCAAATGCAAGACGATATGTTTATAATTCTATGTGTAAGAAGTGGGACGCAAAAAGGCTAAAGTTGTTTGATAAGGTCTATGATCCACTTAAAAGTAGAGCTGACATAATGGATAGCGTTCCATTGGGAATTTTACCGGATCAATGGATTTCTTATGTTGATTACCACTTTAAAGAAAAGACACAGGTATTTATTTCAAAGAGAGACTGTATTCTTCAAAACTCAAAATGAGTCACCTAAATTCATGGGAATTGAACTTTCTTCCTTCTCTTGGTATCATTTGTACCTTTGTTCTTTTGTTAAACAGATATTATGGTTTTACAAGTACACAATAGGCAAGTATGTGTAATTCGTGGTATCTTTTTGTAAGGAAATTTATAAAAGAAATGCTGAAATTCGGAAGAAACAAATTATTTCACATATCGGTGGCTCCAAACCTAACTCCAGAAGAAGGGATGAAATGGTATTGATTCATTTTGAATACTTAAACTAGCAACTATTCTTAGTTAGGTAAGTTAATGCGACTTTAACTTTTTCATTTATAGATGGCTGAGACTGGAAAAAAGCCTGGACGAGGACAACTTTATCTCGCTACACATAGGAATGAAGATGGATCATATGTTAATGAGGCGGCAAAAGAGATATGTGTAAGTTTTTAACTTCTTCCATCAAATTTGCAATCATTTAGTACCTAGTAATCAGTGACGGTGCTTGGATTCCACTACGAAAGTTAGAAATGATAAGAAAGTAAACCTTTTTAATTGATTTTGACATGAAAGTTGTTCATGCTCGGGTACTGTGCTTTCAGGATTAATCCACTTTTTATCCAGATCTGAATATTTGGGTGAATAAAGGAAATTTCGTCAAATAATGGCTTCGTTGATGTTATTATGTGATATATTCTTTATATTTTAAGAAGAAATGGTTACCAAGATTGAGTGAATAAATGTTGAGTTACTGGTGCATTACTGAAAATATTGTCTCAGTAATACAAATTGTTTGCATAAGATATAAACTAACAAATTCAACTTCTGCCTAAACAAAAGCTGGAATTTTTTTCCAGAAGCATCTGAATCTTACCAAAGTTTTAGATGAAAACTTTAGGTTGATTGAAAATCGTGGTCGAAATGTTGTTGTTGTTTGTTATTAGTATGATTTTGTCATGTCTTGGCAAGTATTAAAGTTTAGCTACCTAAGTCAGTTATTGACGGTTTTGTGCTCAAATATAGAAATATTGACTTAGCTCAAAAGCAAAGTGTCCTCTTTCAACAAATTATTATTAGTAAAATGAAGGAGAAAACACCATCTGATAGATTAATGGCTGCGAAAACACTATATGTACATCTGCCAATGATCCAAAACTGAATGCATAACCTTCTATATGAGGAAAATTGATTAGTAAAATGAAGGAGAAAACACCATATGATAGATTAATGGCTGCGAAAATACCATTTAAAACATCTGCCAAAGATCCAAAACTGAATGCATAACCTTCTATATGAGGCAAATTGATCTTGTTCAGAAGTTGGATATTCTTCTTCTCTTGTTATTCTTTTTTAATAACTTATCAATCACTGATTGAAGGTAGTACACTGACTTTTGGTGTGTAATATATTTAGGAAAAAATTGAACTAGCATTGAGCCAAAGCACCGTGGATGAGTCGGAAATTTTGCCAAATGATGTCATTGGTAAGGTGTTGGGAAAAGAGCACTCTGGAATGGTAAGGTGCTTGGGATTAGGAGTTGTTCCTGGCAGAGCGTTTAGACAAACAAGACCTCGTTATAATGATTTGAATGCTTCAAGTTATAATAACGGTTCATGTTCTTCCTAATGCCAAGAGAAGTACAATCAAATGTTGAATGCTCACAATCAAAGCCAAGAGAACTACAGAGAAATGATGAATGCTTTTAAGGCGTATATGATAATGAAAGTAGGGAGGATACCTGAATAATTTGCAGGGATCTTTGTTTCTCCTCATTCAACGGTAAGAAAAGTTCATAACTTTCTTATTTAATTTTGAAAACTTTTGTGCTATATGGTGTTTGACTCTTTTTCTCACTTTCTTCACTACTATATCTACACATGCATTCTCATCAAATGTGCATTTTTTATCTTTCATGAATTAGCACACAAGACATCAGTCTATCCCCTATTCCATTTCTTGATTTGAAAGAAGTAGATTCTTGATTTTTCCTTTTTATGGGCGCCTTCAAGAAAACATCAAGAAGTTTTCTATACAATCCAAATATAAGTACAGATTCAGAATCTGAATTCTTATGTGACTACAAAAGCTAAGTTTTTGTAAGGTTCTGTTGCTTCCTTGAATGGTCTGTGATATACATATATATGTTTTATATGAATAATATCAAATGTGTAAATACTGAAAAACTGAAACGTATTAAAATTTCAAACTAAACTTATTTAGTATGGCCAGTTCTGTTTCGATCTAGAAGTGAAATTACCTTCTTGAACTTTGTAACAGCAGCATCAGCCACCATTTCAATTTCCATAGGGGACTTATTTATCTCTAAATGTCTCTGTTACTTTTGAAGTTAGATCGGGAGGAAAGTAATTCTTGAAGTTACCGATACTTGACTTAAGCTAAGTGATTATTAATTAGGATATTATTGAGGTACTTTTCATAAATTATATTTTATTTTGATTTTTTTAGCCAAGTGATGTGGCTAGCGGATCCATTTCACCCATGGATGTAAGAAGATCATCTGGTGGAAGTAATCCTAACGACAACCATTGAAGTTGCTTCCAAATGTATCGTACTCCATTGAATGGTCATAGGAATTCTTTTGTCCATAATAGTTGGAGTAGATGTTCTGTTTAAAGTTTGTTTTAAGACTAACTATAATACTGATATTTTGTGTTTAATTGACGGAGTAGTTATGTTTAAAGTAAGTTTTTGAGACTAATGATAATTTACTTTAATGTAGTTTATTAATATATTGATGTTACTTGATTCTATACAATCTGATGATACTTCATTATATTAACATAATTGAAATTGGATCATTTATGGGTATAACAATTGCCAAAAAAATAAATTCAATGAATAGCAGAGGTTATAATTGTCGCAATTTAATGTATAATAATATTGTGTTTAAACTTGTAGGGGTTAAATAAAAATATTATAGGGGTTTTGACTGCCGCTATTCTTTTATACGTGTGTTCTTAAAAAGTTAAACTATCGAATTGCGAAGGTTAGACCGCCGCTAAATGATAACGGCGGTCTCCGAAAAAACTCCCGCAAATTGATTGCGGCAAACATTATTGTGGGGGTTTTGGAAACCGCCGTAACAATAAATTGTGGAGGTTACTGACCGTCGCAATATGTAAATAAAACCGCCGCAAATTGAGCATTTTTTTGTATTGAGTGCAGAGTACAGCACCAGTACAACCGACCCCATGTACTGGTAAGTATCGAGCCTAACCTCGATGAAATAGTGACGAGGCTAGGACAAGATACCCACATATAACCTGAACAGTATAATCATGCTAGTGGCAACAACAGTAAATAAGAAATAATGCAGAAATAATGGGAGGGGAACATACAGTGGGGAAATACAACATAAGGAGTGAGAATAATGAAAAGACATAATTAAACCAGAAATCCTTAAACGAATTGAGCAATTAAGACAGCAAGGAAAACTGCACGACATCACCCTTCGTGCTTTACTCTCAACCTCACCAAATAACAAATAAGACTGCACGTCATCATTCTTCGTGCTTTTACTCTCTTCCTCACAATATAACTAAATTATGTACGGTATCACCCTTCGTGCTTTACACTCTTCCTCACAATATAACTAAATTATGTACGGTATCACCCTTCGTGCTTTACACTCTTTCTCACAATATAATTAAATTATGCACAACATCACCCTTCGTGCTTTACACTCTTCCTCACAATATANGATAGCTAGTAAATAGGACATGCACTGAAAAGCGAAGTAGTAAAACACAACATTGTCACTAGCTACCCTAGACAAAAACCCTACGTGGCCAGTCCCACAATGGTACGAAGTAAGTCAAGACTTAACTACATCCTAACCTACAACTCTAATACTCGACCTCCACATCTTCCTATCAAGTGTCATGTTCTCGAAAATCTGGAGCCTCGCCATATCCTGTCTGATCACCTCTCCCCAATACTTCTTAGGCCTCCCTATACCTCTTCTTGTGCCCTCCACAACCAGCCGCTTACACCTCCGTACCAGAGCATCTGGGCTTTTCCTTTGAACATGTCTGAACCATCTAAGCCTCGCTTCCCACATCTTGTCATCAATGGGAGCCACATGCACCTTCTCCCGAATAACATCATTCCTAATCTTATCTATCCTAGTGTGCCCGCACATCCACCTCAACATCCTCATTTCTGCTACTTTCATCTTCTGGATATGTGAGTTCTTAACGGGTCAACACTCATCCCCATACAACATGGCTGGTCTAACCACCGCTTTATAGAACTTACCTTTGAGTATTGGTGGCACTCTCTTGTCACACAGGACTCCAGATGCTAAGCTCCACTTCATCCATACTACCCCAATAACAAAGCCTTCTACCTTAGCAAAGAGAACCAGGTCTTCCAGGAAATCTAGAAAAATGCAAGTTGTGGAGGAACAAGAAAGTGAAGAAGAAGAGGAATCTGATGAAGAGCAGGACAAAATGGTAAAGTTTGGCAAAAGAACTATCTTGAAGGGTAGACTCCTTAGGGACTTGGAGGAAGAAGGAATGGTGACGCTGCTGGAGAAGCTTGAGCTTCAGGGCTGGAAGGACATGGTCCTTCAGAGGGAAGGAAGAGTAGCCAGAGCTGAGATTGTGAAGTTCATGGCTAACTGTGAAATCAAGAATGGCAAGGTCACCAATGTGGTGAAAGAGGTAATTGTGAGCTTTGACGACAAGGAATTGGGAGAGATTCTAGGGGTACCTGCTGAAGGGTACAATGATTATAAAAGGCTAAAATGGCCCAACCTAGAAAATCTACCTACCTCCCTTGTCATTACAAGAAAATTTGCTGGGAATGAGTTAGAGCTATAGCCCAAGGCTGTGTACAAAAGTGAGATGAAGCCTGCCCACAAAGTGCTTTTTGAATTCGTCAACAAGGTTGTGTTGCCCAAGAAGGAAATGAGGCACATTGCCACATTCATGGACCTGGTCCTTATGGAGTACCTGGATAGTGGGAGATAGATCAATTGGTCGGGGTTTATCATCCAGCTCCTTGATAGGGTACTCATTGGCACCAAAACACATGCCATATCCTATGTTTCATTCTCATTGATGTGCTTCCTCATTTCAAGGTACCCTTCAAGAAATGGGATGTTAGCACAAGCAAAGATCACTTTGGGGCCAACACCTTGACTGCATGTGACTATGAAGTCCATACTGCTTCCAAAGAACCTGGTTCATCCAAGAAGGTGTCTGTGAATAGCAAAGTAAGAGCCTTGATGCAGGAGAGTGGGGGTAAGGATGCTGAGATGAGAGGCTAAAGAAGAGGCTAGTTGAAGTAGAAACTGAGAGGGATGCTCTCAGGACTGAGCTTGCAAAGGAAAAGAAGAAGAATGACGGCATTCTGTATGACATGTTGAAATTTCTTCAGGCCAGAAACCAAGAACCTGGTCCTTCGCAACCTTAAACTCTTCCTAACCTGGTTAGAAAACCAGTGACCCGAATGGGATGATTTTTTTTTTATTTTTTTTTGCTCATGGTGTAGTACTGTTATTTCCTTCTATGCTTTGTGGACGACTCTTATCAATGATAATCAACTGCTTTTGCTCTAATTATTTGTTGATGTTTCTTATATGGCTAATATCCTCAGATTGATAAGTGATACTTGACTCCATGATTGCATTAGAAGTAGCCTAAATGGCCATGAGTAGGATCTAACAAAATCTAGTTATCTAACATAATTATGTAACTTTTCAATGATGCCAGAAAGGGAGAAGATAGGTTGTGCTTTTTACTTTGGACTGTTATGTTTATAACCTAATGAATCTAGTCCTTGATGATTTGTGATTTTAAATTGAAAAGTATTCTAACATTGTGTTGATGTTGAGCTGAGTTGAAATAGGTTTCATGCTTATGAAAAGCATAGAGTTTGTCATCATCAAAAGGGGGGAATTTATTGGCCTAAATAAGTTTGTTTTGATGATTGACAAAGGAACACACGCATGAACTAGGTCCATACACAGTATAAACAGACACAGACAGATTCAAGCACAAGGTATGCATGTGAAGCAGATAAGCTTAAGTGGTTATATCTAATATCTCCTGAACGAAAAGGTTGCATAATTGATAAGAAGTAAGACTGTGATGACCCAAAAGGTCATCTTATGTTTTAGAACTTGAATCTGCGCTCTTAAGCCTTAAAAATCTCATTTTTACCCTCCTCAATTTGCGTGCGCAGTCCGAGCAGGTTTTCGGAAAGCTTTTATGTTGAAAACTAATAAAAATAAGAATTATTACCTTAAAAGTTGATTTTAGTTGACTTCGATCAATATTTTTGGTAAACGGATCCGGATCCGTATTTTGACGGTCCCGATAGGTCCGTATCGAATTATGGGACCTGGGCGTATACCCGAAATCGAATTCGGAGGTCCCTAGCTCAAATTATAAATTTTTGATGAAAATTAAAAGTCGAAAAATTAATTATTTTTAAGAATTGATCGATGTTTGGCATTGTTAGTATCGGGTTTGTATTTTGGTTCCGGAGCCCGGTACAGTTTCATTATGATATTTAAGACTTGTCTGTGAAATTTGATGAGAAACGGAGTTGATTTGACGAGATTCAGATGTCCAGTTGAGAGGATATGGATTTTAAAGTGTTCTTGAGAATTTCATTTGATTTGGTGCTAAATTCGTAGTTCTAGGTGTTATTTTGGCTATTTGATCGCGCGAGCAAGTTCGTATGATGTTTTTAGATTAGTGTGCATGTTTGGTTTGGAGCCCCGAGGGCTCGGATGAGTTTCGGATAGGCCACGAGATGTTTTGGACTTGGGAAAAATCTGGTTTTCTGCAGATTCTGGTGTCTGACATATCCTTCTTCGCATTCGCGAAGGTCCTCTCACGAACGCGAAGAGTAAACTGGTGAGGCTGAGACTTCTTCTTCGCGAACGCGAAGGCCTCGTCGCGAACGCGAAGTGATGGGGGATTTACCCTTCGCGAATGCGAAGCACTTGGGGACCTGGGGGAGGTAAGTGACTCTTCCCCAAAGTGTGTGGTAAGTGATTCTAAACCATTTTCTTTCAATTACCCATTACATTTCTTGAATTTTTAACCAAAAATCTAGAGTTTTCATGGTAGAATTAGGGGTTAGGGTAGAAACTAGGGATTTCGGAAATTTGGGAATTTAGATCTCGATTTGAGGTCGGATTCCACAACCAATTATATATTCGGGCTCGGGGGTGAATGGGTGAATGAATTTTGGTCCGAACCTCAGGTTTTGACTAAGCGGGCCCGGGGTCGATTTTCGACTTTTTGGGGGAAAATTTAGGAAATCTAGATTTATGCAATGTAATTGATTCCTTTATCAATATTTGATATTATTGAGTCATTTTTGAATAGATACGAGTGGGTTGGAGGAGAATTCCAAAAGAAAAGCTGTGATTGAGAATTAAGTGGCTTTCGGAGCGAGGTAAGTGTTGTGTCTAAGGTTTGGCTTGAGGGAAAAGGTATTGTGTGAGTATTTGCTACGTGTTTTGTTGTTGAATATGGCGTATAGTTGGGTTGACGAACATCTATACATTGTGGTCGAGTCATAGTACGCGAGTGAAATTCTATTATTGCAAATTTGTAGTAGGGCAGGGGTTAGGGGTGGGGC